TTAAAGGTGATACATGTTTTATATATAAATCGAACTTTGTACATTTAAACTGAAATGATGGTGTCTCATCAGATAGTTTGATCAAATTATTATTTCAACATAATAATAAGCTGATGAGTGGATACTATTTACACAGTGTCTTCTATTATAAGAAACATATAATCAATGTCTTTGTTCAACATGCGTTAATACCATCACACACACGTGTTTAATGTATATATCAATAGGCGGGGCACTAAATCGTATTATGACAAGTCTGATATCTTTATTACACATGTATGACGCGTGTGTTAGATCGTAAATAATTTCCTTTGTTTTAAAATATTGGCGTCATTTGTTAAAGTATAATTAATTAATTAATTACAATTTGAACGGATATTCATATTAATAACGTATAGTAAACATCGCGAATGTGGCTGACGGTATACAGGAACGAATTCACTTCGGGGAACAAGTTATAATACGAAACGTCTGTTTTTGAATGAATACGTCAAAATGCATATTTTCTTTTCTCTCAAAATTTCAATCTTTCAAAGCCATTCAAATATAAGATAATAATATCATTCAAATGCCTTCGTTCAGTTGCCTATTGACATTTTAAACACCTTAATCGGCAATACCGATATCATAAAAAAAATTGAGACGACGCGAATGAAGAAAATTACAGAACGCATACGAGTTTAAAAAAGGAGAAATATGTCTAAATAGAAAATTGACTTACTCAAACAAATGTGTGAAAAGTTGACAGGATTTCCGTATTTTCCATTAAAAGAATAGTAAAATCGTAATCAAAATAAATCTGTAGGTATCGTTTAGATAAACGTTCAGAAGTAAGAACGTCATCGTAATGGAACACCTTTCTTTTCCCCGAATCCATATTTACGCCAACCTTGCTAATATACATTAAAGCATCGACTTAACCAGTTTGAAATAAAGCAAGAAAGTAGAATGGATTGAATTCACCCATTAAAAAACGAAAGTCTTGTGTCTAACGTACTAATTACTAAAAACATGGCTTCAATGCTTTTCTCAACTCATTACTGTTGTCTGGCAGTAATATTTTGGTCAGAGTTAAAAGAAACGACAATTATGATTGTTTTAAACTATTTTCAACATGTATATGTATGAAGGAATTCGGGTTATAACTATTTACATAAAATCCGGATCCCACGTTTCAACGTTCAAATTCAGAAATCATGTTTATCGACTTTCACCGTTCTGGAATGAAGATTTGAATTGATGTCTTAAATACTAATTGAAGTACATTACAGTACCAGAAGGGAGAAAAATGTCATGGTAATATGCGGGGTTTATGTTTCGTTTATTTTTCAGCCAGGATGAAGCAAAAATGAAAACCAAGTGTAAGCGCTGTAGATATTCACCGAGAAGTATATTCCCTGTATATACCTACTTGAGAGACATTGTTAACAGTTGCCACCAGACTTGTATACGGTGGTATGCAGACGTGATACAGTGCATAGACCGTGAAGTGTGAAGTGTTCGCTAACGAGATGTGCCTATTTCGTGTTCTGCTGTCATGTCCTGCTCCTATAACGACTCCTGTGGTAACACACCGTGTGCCTGGTATATTGAGGTCAAGTGTTATTTATGCTAATTCGGTACTGAAATAAGTGCAACCGACCGTGACACGTGAGACTGACCACAACACACGATCGCAATATTGTTATCAATCTATTTACATGATATATTTATAGACTGCTGAAGATCGCAAAATCTGTATAAATATTTCTAATGAATACTTCTGAATACTGGTTTATTTTCATTTTCATTTCATTTATTTCATTTATTTCACACCAGAACAAAGTGAATTCACATCAGACACTATGTTTTACCTAGGGTCGCCCTCAAATGAACAAAATCGTTAGAATTATTTTAAGACACTGTTGAAAATCAGAACAAGTTTCTCCAGGCAGACAATCTATAACCCGGCCTAACGAACATGCATGGGTACAATGGTATAATGCAGAAATATATAGATGTCAAGGCTGACCGGAGCAAGAATGTTTTCATTGTAAATAGTATATGCAGGTACTTCTAAATCATGTTAAAATATAAACTAAAATTTGAATTAAGGAGCAAGGTATGCCAATTGTAGGAATAATAAATTAGGTGGCGTATAGCTCAAATTGTCTTGGTGGCTATGTGTACAAAGCTACAAGTAATATTGTGGTTTTTTTTCTAAGGTTTAAATTGGATTTTGTTCTCACAGCATCTTTCAAGAGGGATGCCGTGGTGGGTGTGCCCCGGGTGCATCCCTCTTACATCATCTAACCTCACACAGGTGGCCTCTTTCCCTTCATTCACTTTTCTCTTTCATTTCTTCTCTCAAACTACCAATCATTCACTCTTTCATTCTTATTCATTCCAATAATAATAATAATAATATTTGATTTGATCAAAATGGGATATTAAATTACAGAAATCATCCCTTCTATTCATATTCAACTATTAACGTACATTCATATTTACAAATTCATGTATGTGTTAGAAATCATGTTTGATTGATTTGGGATTGCTACATTTCCCTCAAGTCTTGACCTGAAAAACCGAATGCATTTTACTGAAAGTAATAGTGTTATTGCTTTACTATAATAGTGTCAATGTAAGAATGATTTATTTCACACAGCTAAGTATCCTTTCTCCAAGGTCGTTAAGCGACGAAAAACCATTCGTTAGGCGGTGACATTCACACTTGCCCAGGACAATGTACTATCCGAAACGTCTATTTAATATCCGTACCGGTCAAGTGTTACGCCTAAGTGATCGTAGACGACATACAACATATGAATTACTCTGAAGTAACTGAGTCAGCATGTATTATTATGATGCAAACTGTATTACAATGTGATACGAGACCTGAACCCTGTATAATCCCAATATGTATCTCTTTACATCTATCAACACCACATGCTTTTGTTAACTCAGGTACAATGACACTACAAATTGAAATTGCAGTATCTGTATCATACTTTGTCCTTTGATTCATTCAAAGATTTTTTTTAACAAATGAACAAATGTTTTTCTCTAAATCAACGCATGTAAGGTCGTAACAACATATAAATACTTAATATTTTGCTGGTCCGGTCGTCAATGCACCGCTTCCCATTAACTGATACTAATTGGTATTTGGTTTATGGGGTCTAATCACACAAATATTACAAAAATACCGTAAATGAGGCTTCAAGTGGGAAAACTTATCTTAATGAAGCGTTTATAACCCGCAGGTTTTACAGTGATATACGCTCAACACGCCTATTTAATGAAACGGATTTTTCCTCAAACTCCAGACTCGTTTAAAAAATACAATAGCAAACAAAAGCAAAATATTTTTATAGAAGTTCTAAAATCGAACTTATGTAAGACAACTGGTTCATACTACCGCTTTCATATCGTCTATGTGGAGTCGTCACATGGCTGTATAAATCATAATAGTGTAGGGTATATCAATGAAATATAAAGTAAAGATATCAAGTTTTATTTCAGTTGAAAGATTCGAGTACTAACATTGTTGGCTATCCAGATACTTACAAGTGACAACTACATGAACCTGACGTTGGTAATTAACCTTGTACTCATTGCGTATAATAGTTTTGTATGCCGCAGGCACTGAAGGGGCAGAACTATTATTAAATCAAGGTACATACATAAAGAAGGCAAGGATCTCACTTAGGGGGCAGAACTATTATTAAATCAAGGTACAGACATAAAGAAGGCAATGATCTCACTGAGGTGGCAGAACTATTATTAGATCAAGGTCCAGACATAAAGAAGGCAATGATCTCACTGAGGGGGCAGAACTATAATTAGATCAAGGTACAGACATAAAGAAGGCAATCATCTCACTGAGGGGGCAGAACTATTATTAAATCAAGGTACAGACATAAAGGAATAGACAGGGACCTACTAGAAAAGGGCATGAGCATGTTTAAAAAGGAAGAAAAGGCTTCTCAGAGTTAATGACATGCTTAAAGGGCGGAGGGAAATTGTTTGTATGCGACAGTGTTGGAAGAGGAGAAGGTACAATTTGAAATAAGATTTTTGGAGCTTCACCTTTCTATGTTGTCATTTTGCATTGTCCAAGCTATGAATGTTTGTTGAAATTGTACTTCAAAGTTGCCCTTGATTTGCCCCATCGTCTGTAGATATCGTCTTCACTGAAAGTTAGCGTTTGCGGAAACTCAAGGCAGTCAGGCAATAAACAAGTAAATATTTTCTTACAAAAGCTGGCTTTGGTGTAATTTTTCTGACAAGTTAAATGCTGAGGTTGAAAATGAATTGTGAGATTTGTCAAAGATTTCAGCGAATGCATCACATTGAGTAAAATTAATGTGTCTAGCAACATCACGATATGCTTCAAGCCCACAGAAACAAGTTAGTCTGTTAAGAGCCTGCGGGTTTCCGCTTTAATTTAAAAAAAAAAACATTGTTTATATTTCTCTGCGTCAGAATGTTTCAGAACACTAACCTCACTATATTTCTTTCCCCACATTCATCTGAACGTCAACCGAATTATGTAACATTACTTCTGGGTAAAACAATAATACAGCCTGAGGTATCCAACAATCCACGTATGAAATTACATTTATAAAAAAACGCTGCTTCTTCAATGCTATTTTCCCCGTCATTCCCTTTTTTTTCAATTTAACATAACACAACAAGTCGCAGCTATTAACGTTTTAGAGGATTAATTGATCGCTTCCATTCACCAATTACCTTGACGTGTTTATTTTCCAAGCAAATAGAGGCAAAAACAGCAGTTTCTTAGTTATAAATATTGTTTGAGGCTACCTCATTCTATGTCACGAACTGCAATTTCAGTATTGATTTTGTGACTGAAGATATCTTTTAAGTTTCTTGTAATTAACCTGTGCAGGCGATTTTTTTTTGGGGGGAAAACACTCCTAACATTTCGCATAAATACACATTTACCACAGGTGCATATTACTAATGGGTAAGATCTATCTTACTAATGCTACAATAAACACAGCATTACTTCATACTTGACCGAGGTCGCATGCTATTTCCTGTCGTATATATTTCACCGTGTGTATTATACGGTCATGGTACGTACGTGACTATTCTCTCATTCTTCGTCTGTCCGTCTGCGACCAAGCACTGACCATCCGCTCTCAGCCATGTACAAATTGTCCGGACTAGTTTTCTGTGGCTGTCTTGCGCTGGGATGTAAGTAAAGTATTAATTTGTTCAATTTTAATAATGATGTTCAACCTTCATATATTGTGTTTTGGTTGTAATTATCATCGCAGCGTAAGGACACATTGCCAATAAGATCCGATTAATTATTATATTAATTTAAAGCTTTTTTGATAGCATTGTTTTTTGTGTTTAAATTATAACATTGCTTCCTTATAACCAATATTTGGAAATGTAACTAGCAGTGACATTGTTTTATGTAGGTATACCATTTACTTATATTCAATAATTGTTAATGAATTAGTAAAATATTTAAGTTTAGTTAATCTCATTAAATGTAATTTAACTGTTGAATACTCGATGGGTTTTTTTTTTGGTTTTTTTTAAAATCTATTTTTGGGTTGCCTTAAATGATAAATAGTGTTTACCTTTTAGTCATGTTTTTTTTTTTTTTTTTTAAATTATTAAAGTACATAATACGATCCGTAGAAAACCCATTAAGGTAGATGCATTACATATAGGATAACCACATTCCACTCGTTTTCTTATTGCGTCAGTTTTCTCGCAGACATTACAAACACTGTTTGCATCAAATAAAAGCCAAACATTTGTAGAAATTTTATTATTATTCAACATTTTGTTGAGGACAATGTAAAGAAAATTGACATCCTATAGATATTTCAAAAGTGTGCTGAAATGGTTTAAATCGTTACAAATCGTTGAAAGATATGTTACCTATTAAGATGTGGCAACTATTTGACGACGTGCATTGAAGCCATTGCTTGTCATAGCCTTGCTAAATTAGTAGACAGTCTCTTTGACAGTACGCATGCATATTGCCTACTAAATCTCGATAAAAATAACCCTTACAAGGGCTAGAATCTATAAATAACTATTGATACGTATATGTCTATACAACAAATCCAACCATAAACAATCATGTTTGTCTACGTTGTCAATTTTCTGTCAGTAAAACAGTTTTACGACAGTAATAGCACTTCGAGCTTCATAAAACTGCCAGAGAAAGAAAGTGGTGTATATATGGTCTTAGAATATGTGTATTGGCTTTGTATGCTTGCAGTCAATGAATTGTATGCTTAGTCCCTCATGGTATTGTGGCCACTGACACAGAATAAATGTCGTTGAAATAAAGGTTAAGCGATATATCGGAGAAGACGTATATGTCAATTGTTAAGGAAAAAAGGAAAAGAGACTTGGGTCGTTGAAGAACAGAACTACTGTTAGTTAGCACCCAAAGTCAAATCGAATCTCATATGAAACGTGACAAATTGCAAGAAGCGCGGTAGTACTTCAATTGTAATGTTCCGTTTGCACTTGTATTGACTATGAAAGCTAATTGAAAACTGATCATTATTTATATTAACCAGTTTATGTTAGAAAACTAAACTTCTTCTGTCTTCAGTTTTCTCACTGAAGTTGTGTAATATGTGGTTGACTAATGACTGATTGAATGTTTACATCCTATACTTTTGACCAATAGGTTTTTACGAAAACACTTCGTTCAAAGTTGATGCTTACCAGTCTACTTTTTGCCGGCAATCACCATTTCATTAGAGCATTTGGCTTAAAGCGAGGTGGATAATGGATCGATAGAGATTTTATCGAAGTGTTACTATAACATGAATATTAAATATAAATAGAGAGGGAACACCAACTAATTTTGTCATTAAAAAGACAACTTTACAAATTACGGATACATAACATACCGTTCCTTTCATCACCTTTATTTTGTAATGTAAACCAAGCCAAAAGAAATTCCAGTGATACAACATTACGACCAACATAGGGGACTGATAATCAGAAGATTTAGCCACGTTCTTACGTAAAATAATAACTATTGATACGAATAAGGCTGTAAATCTTTGGTATATTGAAAACCTGTCTCTGTTGCATTCGAAAGATAATGTTAAACTTTTCGTAATTAATTAAATTAAACATCACACAATGAGAAAACTTGATAAAAATCAATGCGCAATTTTATTTTATTTTTAAATGGCCATCGAAATAACACCGTTTTATACAGTTTTGTATCGAATTTTAACAACGCTTAGCTGCTTAATGATTGCGACCTACTAGATTTATTTATTTTCAAAATCACCGTTTTTAAAATCTTTGTTTATGTAAATGCCGTTTTCCTACATTTCGCAGATGGGTTTTTCTTTGGAGGAGCCCAGAACAGTCTGCTTGGAATGAGCAGAGGTTCTGGTATGGCGGGGATGGGCGGCGCAGCAGACATGTTCGCAGGTTTATTCGGTACGGGTGGAGGTGCTGGTATGGGCGGGGATGCTGGTATGGGCGGAGGAGGTGCTGGTATGGGCCGAGGTGCTGGTATGGGCGGAGGAGGTGCTGGCATGGGCGGAGATGCTGGTATGGGCGAAGGAGGTGCTGGTATGGGCCGAGGTGCTGGTATGGGCAGAGGAGGTGCTGGTATGGGCCGAGGTGCTGGTATGGGCGGAGGAGGTGCTGGTATGGGCCTAGGTGCTGGTATGGGTGGTATGGGAGCTGGTGGAAATTCCATTGCTTCCATGATGAACTCCCTAAGTAGGATGTCTCTCTGTGGTGAGACTCCTTCCCGGATCAGATACAAGACAAGGGGCAGCTGTAGCCCATACGAGTGCAACAGGATGAGTACCGGATATGACGTAGCCTGTTTAGGTCACTCTTGTTGTTGTAAAACATTCCAATGTACAGTTTTGTTAGGTAAGTACAGAGTATAGTTTGATATTATTGTCGTAATTCTACTGTTAAAGAAAGCATATGTAAAAACTATTTTGATGTTTAGTGTGTTTTCCATTATAATTCTTACTGGATATTGCATCATATGACCAACTGGGGTTGATGACGTATTCAGGATTTCTCTTGTTCTCACGATTCTTGTTTTTCATGTCAACTTTGAGTTTAGATTTTCATCTTGCGCATTGACGCTGCAATATATTGATATTTACTCATGATTATAATATTCCGTCTGGATGAATTTTGAATTCTAACGAGACAAAATATCATTTGAATGTTTTTTATGGGTAAATGTGAAAGAAATAAAACAATAACATTAAATAATAAGATATTTCTTTTACTTTTGATCATATTTTTTTTCATCATTCGAGTAACTTTACCTAGTCAAGGCAAATAAGAGAACAAATTTTAATATAAAATATACAGAAACCAAAAGCTTCTCATGATAATTACCTTATACTATATTAAAGAACTTAAATTTAATAAATATACTTAAAGTACCATATTATGAAAAGTGTGTAACCCTGAAATAGCTTTGTCGATAACTTATAATGTCACCAACCTTTTTGTCAGCTATGCCTTGGTGAAACTGTCAAACTTATGTCTCCTAATGAAGTGAATTTCGCATGCATGTCAGTCTTAATTGTTTTTTTACTTGCTTGTCTATTTGTAAAATTATAAAATAAAATCATATTACAAATTCACATCAAACAAGTATACAAGTTATATATAATAATTATATCTACTGCAGTTAACTTTCTGTATAGATAGGGTGTTAAATAGTTGACTACATATTATATTGCGTTTCAAATACCTACCTAGATACGGTAAGAAGTTACAGTTAACTAGCAAAATCGATTATATTTTTTTATTTATATGTTATCTATCTGATTATTTTTTTTATTCTATTTTTATTTTCTAACATATAATTAAGGAGATATAACAATGTGTTATGATTATCTATGTACCCTATTATCACACACATATATACTTTAGTACAGTATTGTGTAATAATGTAGTCAAATATCATTGTTAGGGTTTATTTTTTGACTGATGATCAGCATTTTTTTGTATTTCAGATGCAAGGAAATGATCTAAGGAAAATTTTAATTTTGAGATAGAAATGGCTGTGAACGAAGGTATTGACCATCGCTTGCTTAGCATTCGGACAATTGTGAAAGCATCAGATGTGGATGAAAGCGGCATCAGCAATTTACAATTATATCCGTCGGTGTAAAATAGTTAGCATATGACATAATTATGGAAATGAATTGCACATACAAAATTGCAAAGCCATTACATTATTATCTGTCCAGCGATCGATTAAACGTTGTGGAAGGAATCAGACTATTGGCAACTTAAACCACATTCATAATGCAACACAATACAAATATGTACAATAAAAAATGATTATTTCAATACGAACTGACAGGTGTTGATTATATTTTATAAGTTTTTCTTAAATGTTCACATGTATATGTCTATGTTATATTAAATACCATTACATAAAATAAATACTTATTTTTTATGTCTTTTTGTGTATATTTTTCCTGACAACTCATTTTGAATAGTCGGTGATGCCTGAATAAATTCTAAAAATCGAGGAAAGACAAGCCTGCTGTAAATCACTGCATAGTTAGATGACTGGTAGAGGAATGATATTAATTTTATTATTGGTGTCAGTTCCTTCGTTTTTCGGACAATTAGAACCTCGATGTTTCTTTTTCCAGTCATGCCTGCTCTTTTGTATTGACATTTTTTGCATGATTAGTTATCAATATCGTTTCAAGGTTATGCTATTTCAGTTGGATTGCATTTTTAAACATTTCACGAGGAACCAAATGTGTCAATACAACTGCAATATTAAAACAAAATCGATAAAACAATGACAAAATATGTAGAAAACAAATAAAATCAGCAATGTATGTTTTCGCCAATATTGCTAAATTCGTCAGTTATATTTACATTTTGATAGAGTAGTTATTCTCTATTGAGTTATTTCGAACAGTTCTTTGAACAGCAAATTAAGTGTTGGCAACAATGACATTTTGTTTACACCACAACAGAGATTGATGACGTTACAATAGCAAATGTTGTTTAAATATCACAACAACATTTGTCTTCTCAAATTATGGCAATTGAAGGATGCAGAGAAAATGTGAATATATATTTATAAAACCGTTCACACGCTCAAATTCACATTATGTGCTCAATTTTTCGTGTTGTTGACAAATAAAGAAAATTTAACATTTTGCCAATGAGTCGAAAGAATTTAGGAGAAAATTAAAACTGAATAATTTTCAACGTTTATTCAAAGACTATTTTGTAATGTCACATGATTAAAATGAATAACAAGAAAGTTGGTCTGAGTTCAAAGTACATACTTGATCATGAAAACGGTTTCACTAATGCTCTGAGGTTTATTAAATTAACCCCATCATCTCTCTTAACATGACCTTGGATTTTACGAAGACGCACTATAGTTATGTCTAGCAATCATTATGTCTTGGTTTTCAATATTCATGTATAAGTGTCTATATTGATAAACGGTCTGTACGCGGTGTTTTGGTGACCCACAAACTTGTTTCACTCCATTTTACGAGAGACATTATAGAGGATATCACATATGATGTATGCAATATTCACTGTTCATGGACAAATTGTTTCGTCATTGTAGCTGGTATTAAGTGTATGTGTATGGCGGATTGTACAAACGCAAAAAATAAATCACAAAAAACATAATGTAGAACTGAGACCAGTAGAGCAAGCCATTGAGAACGGCATTTTAATTTGAAAATGTATAATCAAAGGATGCTTATTTTTTGACAAATGAATATTAACAATAGACCACCAATCACTACAATTTCATTCATGTCTTGATTTGATTACTCAAAAAGCAGTTTTATTGAATTTGAAGCAATGTTTAAGCATATTTGCGTCACTGCCAAAAAGTGAACCTATGAATAGGAAACTGTTTTACCTGCATGACATTAGCTTAAGGAAACACTTTCTAAAGCAACACAAATCAGCAAACGTGTCCTTGGAGTAAAACCGCAATACAGAACGAAAGGGACTTGAACCTTTAACCTTTGACGGTCGCTATAATCAGATCAGCTGCCTGATCAGCGATAGATACAAATCCCCTACAGTTATATCCAAAAATGAAGTTGAGGGAAGGTAACTGTTTATATGCAAATCTACAATTGAACTATATAGTGTTTTGCCTGCAGTTAAAACACATTTAACAGTTTATAATGTGGTCAATCTTTACACCAAGAATAAGTATTAAGCGTAAACAGCGCTGCAGTAACAATACCTTAATATAAAAAGATCCCATTTTTGCGAGTACAAGTTATGAACGGAAATGGAAATCTATTAAATGTGTTTCCCGGAAATATTTGTCAAGATATCTACAATTCCTGTATATATTTAAGAACCTTTACGCTATTGAAAACGTCTTCATAGCATCAAAACTATTTTTTAAACTATAATTGCTTAGTAATAACATCCCTTTGTATTGTATTGAGGTTCGTCATGTAAACGTCAGCACAATTCAGTGAAGCGAAGCGTTGTGCTCGATTTACGTTTTGGTGTCCAAGCCAAAACAGTCATGCTACGGCTTGATGATGCTAGTCGTGAAAAGGCCATTGGCTAAGGTCACCTGACGGTTACAAGAATTACAGCCACGCGTTCGACGGCCGATCGTCTGCTATCGGGAATGCCGCACATTATATCATGTACACAGGACTATTAAATCTGCACTCGTCATCTGCGCAATTGGAAAGGCAAGGCGGCAAGTTCTGCTTCCAACATCCCAAATCACCGTCTCAATAGTCCGTCGGTTAGCCGAGGTATGTCTATGTTCTTGACAACCGTATCGTGTGACCCGCCGTCATATCAAAAGTCGCTTAGCGTGGTCACGACACAATTTACGATACTCTCTACAGCAACAAGTTTTATTAACGGTTGAGTACTGATAGTTACTTTATCGCTAAATAGAAGAATGCGAGAGTGTCGTAGGCGTGTTGCATATTGTCAGGACGCCTGCACGTTACGTCATGGTCGTTTTGGCGGTGGAAGATCGTGGTGTGAGGTTGGGTATCGGGATATATGTCTTGGTATCGTCGATAGTAGCCTGAACGCTGAACGAAAGAGGGAGCAGGTCTTTGTATCACTTATGGTTCCATCCATGGTGACAAATGAAATACTATCAATACAATAATATAACGTTTCTCATTCGGGCCAGTGTAAAACCAAAGATGTTTACCAAACCATGCAATTATTGATATTAATAAGTACATCTGAATAAATCAGGGTCCTGTCATTCACGGAAATAATATGAATGTTATATTTAATTCTCATATTATCTACGTCGTTGCATTAATTACATAAATGACGTCCGTTAATAGCATTTATAATACGGAAAAACATATGTTGGTCCACTCTTTGTCTCTTAATTGATTGATTACTTGAATATGCGTCATTCATATCCGGGCATGCATGTTTTATTTTGGGCATGTTACAACCCCACAAGACAAACTGTATCACACAAAACATTAACAATGAAGAGAAAATGCTACGATTAATCTAATAATAAGTATTTGTTGACATGACACGCATGTTCGTCTATAGTGTATACCTATATAGACATGAGCGATGTATTATGTCTTATAATAAGGAGCGTATGCCTTGTTACATATAAAGTAAGAGTTACAGTGTTGCAAATCCTAAGTATGTTGTCACCTGCGTTACCGTATTTAATGTATTAATTATCTGTAACTTGTATTATTTTTATTATAATCATAAACCTATTCTGTGACGTATGAGGTATTTATCTTATGGATTATTTTGCATTTCATATGCACTATATGAATAATGACCAAAAGGAGGTCAGACGAAATAGGGCATCAGCGTTAAATCTTAAACATAAGCGAAATTGTTTAGTTTAGGTAGTATATGAAATGACAACTGCCAATATGAAATACAAACGTATTAGTAATACTTGATCAAAAAGCTATACAACTCATGATTATAAATCGTATATGTTATTGAGTGTAACACTGGGAATGGTGAAACAGATGTATCCGCAGACACATTACAATGAGAGTATGATTGATGAAAAGACAAACAGTCTTTGCATGTCTTCTTCGCGTGATTCGCATAATTACAATTAAGTACAATAACTTTGTAAAATATTTTTGAGGAAATGAAAATGATAAACGACACTGCAGAAATTGGAGAATCATCTTTTAGATTGAGGCAAAACCAAACGTGATCAGTATACAGTGCAAATATTCTACTGCAGCTGGCATAAATGAAACATATCATTTTTATTTTATTTATAGCATTTCCGTGGAGTATTTTTTTGTATTTCAGTCACGACAAATTACTCATATATAATGATTTTATATCATTATGTATTTATAATAACAAAAGAGTAAAAGATGAGTGCTGTGTACGATGATAGTTGTGTCTCCAATCATTGCCTCATTCGGAAGCGTTGTGAACGTCGCCTCTCCATAAATTTAAGCATCTTGTCTGCAAAGTAAAGAAAAGGTAATTTTTAAACACAAAACAGGGTGTTGAAAGTGTTGTACATCATAGTTATCTAGTCCTCAGATTCAAATTTCAACAGCTGCGTTATATGAGACATAATATTGAAGAATTTATATCAAACTTCAATTTGTTTAATTTACAAAATATTTTGATAATTAGCATTTGTCATCTTATATGTAAATTAACATGAGATTGGTCATGGAAACGCTTTCGTAACAGAAATGTTTCAATGTAAAGGTAGCAGTTCGTATTTGGGGGAAAAAAGTATCAGTAAATTTAGAATACTAGGCTGGAGACCACAACAAAGTACTCACCAAGCATTTCCGCATGATCATTACTTGTTGCGCAGCATTTTCCTGAGTAGCATTCCATTTTACGCTGACAATCCGTATTGTCTACACACATCTTCCTTAACCTAATAGGCGTCTTGGAACACAGTGTGCGTTGCCTGTATATATCCATTTGGCTTAGCATTAGAAAAGTAGCATTCGATTGACCTCTGTTAGCATTGAGCAATCGTTGCATTGCGAAATTAAGTTGAACCGGTATAGATTGTATTGAAAAGTGACGTCGCCTGGACACTTGCTGCATCGTTGGATCAATAAATGAACCTTCATTACCTCTGACAACAGTTTCGGGTCTTATGCGTTGAACAATTGCATGACTTGAACCCAAAATGCCTGCAAGATAAGGGAGAACCCGAGCTAAAGAGGATACAATAGTCACTGGACCTTGCCTTGCTAATTTGGTTATTGTTTTCTGTGTTGGTTGCCTCAAAGTGGGAGACAGTACTGAATCACCTGCTGGAGTCTTTTCAACATATTCCGTTTGTGAAGTCTTAGCAATGTTCGCCATAAAAAAGGGCAGTGTTTTCGACGTTGATGATGTGATATTTCTTGCAAACGTGTTGGTGACTATGACAGCGCTAGCGTCAGTTGTTCCGATTTTACTATTACTTATCATTTTTTGCGGTTGGTTTGATGCTGTTGTTTTTGTAATTGTATGTTTAATTTTGTTATCGATATTGGTTGTTGAACTTTCTTTGTGCAATTCCTTTGTGACACTACTTCGATGTGACTCTCCAACACCTTTAGGCGAATTAAACATTTCAAGTGATATGAAATCACTCCGGGCATCGCCTTTGACCACAATCCTTGTTTCGTTCTGGTAAGGTGTTAGAGATGAAGTGTCAGTTTCAGTTTCTGTTTTCGCGGTCGAAATTGTCGTTTTTCCGCTTTTTCCCCTTGCTGTTTCAAAAAATGTATGTTCTGTTCGTTTAGATGTAGCTGACTCCATCGTCTGTTTTGGAGTTTCAGGCGATTTATTGGTTTCTTGTTCTGACGGTTTCGTAATTTTGCTATATTTGCTTGTAGCTCTTCTTCTTGATTTAAGTCCAGATATCTTGGTTGACCTTAGCGGTGAACTTGTGGTTACTTTGACCGCGGTTTCTGAGGTTTTAAGCCGTTTGCTACTGGCGGTTTGAGTGACCGTGTGTCGTTCTGTTTTAGACCGATGTGACGTTTGCTTCGTAGCACGTGTCGACTCTGATGTTTTAGTGGATGGTTTTGTCCTCTTCCTTCTTCTTGCTGATCTCCTTGATGATCTTCTTTTTGAGCGCCTAGCTGATCTTCTAGTAGAACTGTTGATTACTTTGGTCATAGTGGGCGGCGTTGTGTTGCTTGTACTTCTTGATAACTCCGCGGTTTTGCCTCTGTCTTCTTTATTAAGTGCTGTATTCGGAACATCAGAGGAGGAACTTGCTAACGATAGTGCTTCGTTCTCTAAAACTTGGTTCCCATTTGCATTCGTAATTTCTATGGCTGGTGATTGAGTTGATATAGCTTTAATAAGAAAACGTGCATGGATTAAAAACAAATATACATAAATGTAATGCTGTTGTATTCATAATATCTTTTCATTCAAATCGAAATGATATGGCTTTGATTTTTTCTAATTGTGTGTTTGTTTGCTTACTTGTTTGTTATACTCCTCTGCCTCGAGAAAAATAAAGAAGCACATAATTACGTTTTGCATACACATCACCAAACAAATTTTCAGTTCTGTTCTTGCATATGGTTAAGTTTATCAAAACACTTCTTGTATAACAAAAAGGTGTCACCATATTAAAATCACAGAATACTTCCTAGTTGGTCTGCAATATTCTATTTATGACCTCGTGTCTTTATACAATTTAAAATTAGCTTACTCGTGTTAGATAATCATGATAGCCAGCCCTCATTCTTTTGGGAACCTCTATGTTTTATTGTCATTCTCTTGAATAGTTTATTGAAAGCGAACAACATATTGAATAACTTAATTCAGAAATAAACACTGATATATAGATGGTAATGTAAAAGTAAATCGAATAATCAAATATGTCAGAACTATTTTCCTTCATATGTTCACCTGGAAAAATTGTATTGCATTCCATTAATATCTTTTTGAAGCAGTTTCGAATAAATAAATTCTTACCTGAAATAAATACTGACAAAAGAAAAGACCAAAATAATGTCAAATCCATTTCCAAATTGATCATTCCAAGAATTGATATATCCTTTTCGTTATGAGATATGTTGTCCTTTTATATTGATAAAGACCTTTTTTCATTGGTCCGAAATAGTTCCGCTTGGATTTGATCCAGTTCCCCTTAACACTGTCGTTAAAGTAGTGTAAGTTCACAATACCATTAATACATTATAAACACAATTCATAAAGACTTTTTCCTCCACAATCTGACACCAACATTTATGTATTTCGAGGCAGCAGTAGCCGCTTAATATAATGGTGATTAAATGTCATGTATTTTTTACATCGATTTAATCCAATAATATTTCGTATGAGTTTTGGTTTTTCAATGGCATCAAATGGATTTAAATTACACACATGTCTTTTACACATTTTTTTATGAATGTTCAATCAACCTAACAAAGCTTTAAAATGGTCGATGAGCATTAGTAAATATTTTTTTAAGTTGTAACATAATTAATTATCTAGTGTAATGTCCTCATGTTTACATCAAATACCAATTAGTGTATATAAGTATTGTGTGACTTTGGAGTACTTATTTATGTAACACCGTATCGTCTACAAGAAAAAAAAGCGTTCAAATGCATGTCAATATCGACCTTTCCAAGAATTGATATATAACATACGCTACGTAAAATGATGTCCTATTACATTGATAAAGACCTGTGCGTTCAAAAGTAAGTCATGTTTACAATAGATCGTTAACAACTATGAGAGCAGATTGAACTACACTTCTGAAAATCACTTGCAAAAACATAAGTGCTACTTCAGTGTTAGTATCTCTTAAGGTTAGTTTTCTCATAATCTGTTGATTTTGTGTTTTGATCTTCATATTTTGTCTTATGCAATACATTTTGGTCCTGTATATGACACAACATTCTTGACAAAGCTTTTTATATAAAAACTAATCAGAATGTCCACACATTTTAACGTTTTATCAAAAACAAATCTACTTGGTTTTGTAAAATTTGTAACGGTAAACATGTTTGTGATGATTATTTATAAGTATTGCTTTAATGCTTAATAAAATTGAATAGAAAACAAATACATTTGTTGTAAATGTCCGTGTATTGAGGTATGAGGAAACCTGTCATCAGTAAGAGAGGACAGCTATGAGCCTAATTTGTATATATGTTAATCCTAGTAGTTTATTGCTTTTAATTGTGACATTAAATAGATAACGTCCTCCGCTAGGAATAAGGCACAACCAGGTACCTCCAAACACCTAAACACATATTTGTTTATAACAAGAACACACAATTAATGTGTCCTATGGCAAGTCACCTATGATTAAAAGTTAAGTGACATTTTATTCCTTACGCTTAAGTGGTATTGACAGCGACGATCTGCCACAGTTTTCTTTTCTTTTAATCATCTCTCATGATCTTAACCTCGAAAGGAATATTTCTTCACGACATATATCTATTAGTCGTTTTCACGGCATTATTACGTGACAAGTAATTACCAATTTGCGGAATATTTAATTACTACTGATGACGTAACAAGACAGGCGAGATCATTATGGTGTAGACGTGGAGCATTATGTCTATGAATATGATAGTAATAGAAGCGTATCAGGTTTTAAATATTCATCAGATCATATTCTAGTTTAAAGACGTTTCGACAGCTGGCGGAGACGTCGCGATTTTAAATGAGATATTGTTTTGAGCTTTGCACGTACTATAAAAAGTCCCACTATCTTCCGGAATACCATACAAGGTCTGACTGTGGTGGTTGTTGGCTCATTCGGGGAGAGCGTCAGAATAGCACGTTCCTGAAGTAGGAGTTCTTTTGTTTGAAGTTCTACGGAACAGGAAATAGTAGCATGGATACGCCAACAATGTTTTTATGCACATTCCTTCTGATGATGATTGTTTCAAGTAAGTTTCTAAACAAATAGGGCTATTTCGTTTATGATTTACTTTTGATGATTTAATATACTTCATTGACGCAAAGTAAGGTTGCAATATCAACGAGGCGACATATATTAGACGTTTGTAAATAATATCTGTAGCCTACCTTATTGACTCGTAGTATTTTATTGACAACCATTAAGGCGACATAAAGCAATGATTTACAGAAAGATAGCATACACCATTGACTCATAGTAAAGTTGTTTATTTCATAAACACACAGTAATGTAGATGCATTATCGTCTCACAGTAAGACATATTTGTAACGTATTTCGTCGAATTGTAGTATTTTATCGACACTCATTACGGCAACAAATATTATTTATTCATAGTAAAGTAGTATGCTTATCTAATTGACTCACATTATTGTAGTATCATCGACTCAGGAAAGCTAGCTTATATCATTGACAGGTATAAATACGTCGAGCATATCCCGTTGATTCGTAATATTTGAATATTTCTCACAAATCATTGACTCACTGTATGGTAGCAAACATCCTTGACTTACAGTAAGGCATCAAATATAAATGACTCATCGTAAAGTAGCAAAACAAGAAACAAGTTATTTCAAAGGATGTTAATTGAACATTCCGATATAATTTGAAATATTTTGTATAAGGTATATGCCTTGCTGGGTTACATTGATAACTCTACATAGCAAAAATATGCTTCCCTACATTAAGCATATCTAATTCAAACTTGTTTCCAATTTGCATTCGTAATTTCTATGGCTGGTGATTGCGTTGATATAACTTTGATAAGAGAACGTGCATGGACTGAAAAAACTTAGACACAAATGTAATGTTGTTGTATTCATAATATCTTTTGATTCACAGAAATTTACAGCAATCATTTAAAATGCTGTTCTTTACTAGATACAAAAATGCATCGTTTGTTTAAGGTATAGTTGCTTTATAATGATGTTCTAGAAAATGTAGTTTTTTAATTATTATATTTATTGTACATTTATGAAGAAAATATAAACTGGTGTGTAATATTTGCTGATTAAATAATAACTTTATTAAACGCAATGTTTTGAGGGCCGCAATGGCTGATTGGTTCAGTCGTCTGACCTTCTACAATTACTAGCCCATAACCCCTAGGGGCTTTAAAGCACAAACGAACGAAAACACTATTTTTGAATATGTAAGGCTGCAGTGTTAATAATACAAACATGTATGTTTAAAGGTGTCACGGCGTTATCCCCGATGGCGCAGAGCATGAATGCAGAAATCATGTCAGACTACATGGACCTACAAAGAAAGGTTATGAGATATAGGATGTTTCAGTCTTCAATGGGAGGACCGAATGGTGGGAATACTGTTCTTCCTGCTGGAATACAAAATCTCCTCGCCTCTTTTGGAGGAATGGTTCCATCAGAGATGTCATCTGTCCAAACATCGGTAAATAGTGGGTCACAGACAGGTAACTTTATGCCAGAAGTAGCACCAACACTTCAAAACATTGGACTAAAAAATCCACAACCTGCAACAAAAACAGCAAACGCAAAGACATCATCAAAAAAGAGCAGTTTAAAATCAAAAAGTGGTAAAGTTACACATCCCAGCAATGCAGCTCAGACACCAAAGCAGTCATCAAGTAAACAAACCCCAGTGACAGATATGGTGAGTAATGTACCAACGGCTATAGGCTCTACTCTGGAACAAAATCCAATGATTGGGCTCGAAATGGCCGCTTTGATGAATGCAGGATCGATGATGAATACTGCAGGAGGATCAATGTTTGACCAAGGACAGACATCAAATCCAAGTAATCCTACCCTAAAGGGAGTTCCGCAGATGGCATCATCAGGAATGAACAATGGTCAAGCTGGTATGTCGTTGCCACAAGCAAATCTTGGACAGATGTTAATACAACACAACTTATGCTCCGAGACGCCGTCCAAGTTGAGACAGATGTGTATGACGAATAAGGACTGCTCTCACAAAATGCAATGTTTTACTGGGAGATGCTGCGCTAAAAACCTCGACCATGCAGAAATTCTTGGTAAATATTACTTTCACTACTTTCCTAAGTTTGATTTAATGTATGTTTTGTATAAAAAGACAAATTATGATGTAGTAAGCCGTAAACGATAAATTTTGGTTACTTGTATAGATTCAATGTTGCGACGGTAAGGAATATTTGAATCCTGTTAAACCAGGTCCATTGAAGAGCTGTGGAGATCACACGTACCATATACATAACGTTAAGAACAGAGTTTTGACATCAATTACTGCTAGAAAATATCATTTCAGAACCTTACCTACATCCCTGGGCAAAATAGCCTACACCCCATTGGCTCCTCTATAGACTCTCACTGCAGTTCGAAGTTGTGTGTTATGAGATGGTTTAAGATAATTCATTTAAGGATCCAACAGCGAACTACCAAAATAAAGCATTTCAATATAAAATATGTACAGCATTTAAACAAAGAAAACACAACTAACATTGTGCTGATGTGTCCGTACCGCTAAATTTATATTTTGACTTTCAGACAACATGGTTGAACATTTGGAGAGACAACGTGCCCGTCAAGCGTGGATGAGACTATGACACCGTGGCAGATGAATCAGCGACTGTGTCATGGTGACATTTGATAAATTATTCCATTCCTAATTTATTCATTATGTGGGATATTTTGTATACACAATGCCTAATGCTTAAACAGTAATATAGATAGTGTACCTGCTGTAGTTTGCTTAACTTAACTGCTTGTGTAACTATGGATAATTTTGTATCTAAAATATTTCCTCTGAGAGTGGACCCACAAAAAAGACGTTCACTTTCTGTCGTACAGTGCCAAGATGCCATATGTTTGAATAAGTACGTCAACTATTGATACAATTCAAAGTTTTATAATGATTTTAATTAAAATGTTACAATTTATAATCTTCTTGTATTATTTCCTGTTGGATCAAATGTAGGGGCAGTGGTGGCCAAGTGGTTAAGGCGACTGACAATTTGCTAACACTAGCCATAGGTCATAATTAGAAGATAGACCAATGAAGTAACGCCCGGTGTGTTACCCAGTCAAGGGTTAGGAAACGGTTTGGTTTAGTATAGTTTAACGTCTTATCGACAGCTATAGTCATTTAAGGACGACCTCCCCTGTGTGCAAGATGCATGCGTGTAGTGTATGCCTGTGTTTTGGGAGGATGATATATGTTCGTGCTTGTCTCCTTATGATAGCACGGAACTGATGCCGACTTTATAGTGCAAACTCAATGAAACTGCCGAAGACACCCAGCAGGACACCCCACCCGGTCACATTATACTGACATCGGGCGAACCTGTCGTGTCACTCCTAAATTGCTGAGCGTTAAGCAGGAGTAGAAACTACCATTTTTACGGACTCTGGTATGTCTCGGCCAGGGGACAGAACTCAAAGCCTTCCTCACAGGGGCGAACGCTCAACTAAAGGCCAAAAGTGAGGCATTGTCAAGGGAGACATTAGAAAGAGGAAAGTTGTTTAGAAAGAAGAGAAAAGATAATATCATAAATTTAGTCGCCTCTTACGATCATGCAATGGGGGCAGCAGGTACAATTATTACGCCCTACCTGCAGGGACTGTTAGGAAACGGTGTCAAGGCACATCAGCCATTTTAGTTGGCTTGGATCGATTCTGATTTTGATTTCACATACATGCTGTCGTGTTCCATCTGAAGCTCACTTCAGTAGCATGTGTCAAGGACTCGTGAAATAGATGCAGTCAAAGTGATAACATCACGTGGAAAGGGGCGGCATGGATTCAAGACTACAACAGCATTACTCAAATATCTATCAGTTTGCAGAAACGACAAATATGTTTAATATCGAGTGTTAAATATAAGAAGCTGGATTTGAGACGTCTCTAATACATTGGTATCTTTATACTTCAAAAATATAGTTAGCATGATAAAAATGCGAGTAGCTATTGTAACGAGAAATTTTGCATACAATAGAATTGAACAGTTTACAAAATATGACAAAGTAGTTTGAAACGAGTATTAAAATCTTTGTTGGTAACACTAATTGTTTTTTGCAAAAACGTTACACATCCTCCTACAATACAATCAAACAATTGCTGCTATAATAAAGATAAAACATATTTTTGTATTAAATCAAAACATTTTTGGACAACCATTTGTTTCATTCTGGTGCTTTCTGGAAAATGTTTAATGAAGAAATTATAGAAAAACAAATAAAGACTCTGTATCTCGAAAAGAAGTTATAGTAATTAGAATGATACCGATACATTTCTTTTTAAGTAATCATCGTAATTAGATAACACATCGTTCAATATTCAAACGTGTACATTACATACATAATATTACAAAGGGATTAAATAACCAATGCCGGCAATGTAAACAACTTTAACACCCATGCAATTTATCAGAAATATCGTCTGTTACAATGCACTGATCAACAGGAGTTCGTTACAAATGTCTGAAATACACATATTCTGTAGACCTACTGACACATATGTTACAGACCTACTGATATGAGTCACAGCACACATAAACATTTCGGATATTTGTAGCGAAATTGTGCTCCGTCGCAAGAGCACTCACTTCAAACTCTATCAGTATCACGCGTCTCGCAGCCACAGTTTCCTCAGCTTTTGACGACATGTCAAATAACGAGGCTTTTGTAGAATCTACCGACTGTAGTCTGATTCCCATACAATCAACAAATACATTCACGCCTGGATTCTTCACAAAACTTTTCTCTCTGCTCATTTAACTTCCAAAAATAATTCCCTCGTGGAGGTCAAGGTCGGATTCACGGTGTTCACTGTATTTATCCATGGGCGAAATTTGTTCCGGGGAAAAAACGAAACAATTTCAAATCTAACTATCAGCTCAGATTTATATTGATAAACTTAAATCACCCTATAAACATTTCATACGCAATTGCATTGATACTGAATTGTGGAATAAATTGAAGTGTTGGTTAAAACTTCAAAGTCCGACTTTGTTTGTCAATCAGCAAGCGGCAACACGCTGTTCCGACTATTTAACGAATTTATGTGGACTGTCGATAAGGCGGGATTTTTTTATTTTAAATATAAATTGTAATTTAAAAAAGAACATAATAGGCAGAGAAAACTTAAATATAAGTATTGAACTGTTTTTGTTTGGTATTTATGACTTATTTGAATGGCACCGCTTTGCTAGCAAACAAATCATAATGCGCTAGCGTGCATTATGTTGTTTGGTTGCAAAGTTGTGTCATTTAAATAGATCATAAATACCATACAAGAACAGTTCAATGCTTAAACATTTTCAAACATACACTATATCAAGTCATATGCTTTTACATTTCTATGCTGTACATAAGTGTTAATAAGCATTTAAATCCTTAAGTTCTCTTTCTGTTTTGATGGCGAGAAATTTGCATACACATGTTAAACAGTGCCTATTATATTTAACAGGTGCGATCGACTTTAAAATTGCCTTGTAATGTCACAGCAATTTACAGGAACGTTAGCCACGCTGTGATTAAACTTAAAAAAATAGATACAATATTCGAAAACTGATTTACCTTACATCATACAACTTTTGCACCCCTCTAGACTCGTTAGCGGAGTTAAGTCTAAAAACTGGAAATTCAACAAATCCAACCCACAGTTACAGTAAAAACAGAAGGGAAGATGAATAAACAAGAGGCCCAGGGGCCTTAACGGTCACCCGTGTTCTGATATATTTATACAGAGAGTTGATTTTTGTTTTTAAAACAAGAACAGAAGTTTTATTCAAAGCGACCTAAAACAACCTTATTCAATATCTAGCATACAGATTAAAGACTGATAAGTATTAGAATTTAGCACCTCTGTTTCTAAACAAGGAAAATGAAAACAAAAAATAGCACACTGTTCAAAATGAAAATGTTCAAAGTATCAAACTGTCAACTCAGGGTTATAATTACAATCAAGTTATCAACATGCAATATTCATTATCATTTGCCATAATAAATTTTACCCCCCCCCCCTCTCCCCAGGGGAAAACGTGAGACCCTAGGGTCATAAAATTCACAATTGTGGTAGAGCACCTTAAAACCCTTCCATCTATGAAGAGTATTTGATTCTACCATATCTGGGTCTTGAGAAGAAGATTTTGAAATTTCAGTCAATTCAACCCTTTTCGGCCCCACCCATCAGCCCTTTGGGGTCAGTCAGGGCTAACATGTGCATACCATCAAACTGCTTTTCAATACTGATAATGCTAACCAAAATTGAATTACTCCCAATGGAAATTAAACAAATGTTAGTCCAAAATGTGATTTCCCTATATAAAATATAGTAAAGTTTACCCACTCGCCAGGGGAAAACTTCAGACCCCAGGTTCAAGAAATTCACAATTTTGGTAAAGCACTTTTAGACCCTTCCATCTATGAAGAGTATTTGATTCTACCATATCTGGGTTTTGAGAAGAAGATTTTGAAATTTTAGTCAATTTGATCATTTTTTGCCCCGCCACTCAGGCCCCTGGAGGCTGAGGACCAAATCTTTGACCATGGAAGGTTTCTGCATAATTTCATTGAAATTGGTTCAGGGGTTTTGGAGCAGAAGTCGAAAATGTAAATCGGACGACGGACGACGACGGATAAAAGGTGATCACAATAAGTCACTTGAGACTTTGTCTCAGGTGACTTAACAACTCTTTTATACAAATCAAATACTTTGAAAAGTACTTGTTAATGTATGTATGGAATAAACCATTACTCAGGAAAGATTACTGTGGCTATATACGACGAACCTTAGGTACTATGAAATCCATCGGCAAAGTCTACCAACTTGCATCCTGAAAGACGAACGTTACACACACTACTCTTGATTGCGCAATTTGGCAACACATAATGTGCGCCTAAAGTGAATAACAAGGCGCCCTAGAGCTGATTCGTCGTTCAAAGAATCATCGATGACATTAATAACAAACAAATCTCAGCTTGGTAGTACATACATTAAGCAATTGCGTTGCGTGTAGAGCGGTTTCATTTTTTCCATTGAACACATTTCAAAAGTTGAATTTTGTGTGAATGACACTTATCAATAAATGTAATATTAACAGGCCCAAATATAAGGACATTACATGAAACTTTAATTACATCAAGAACTTTCAGCCATCCGATTTTACTATTATTTACAAATTAAGTATACAATTATTCCTTTTCTGATGATTTACCAATGAGTTACCAATACAACTTTTTATTTTTATTTTGGTGACTATTTCTTAAAAAAACAAGTTTAACACTATTTCGCTTTTATCCAACGAACTTTTTTTATTCACAATGAAGTCAATTCGGAAAACGGCCTTTTTCATTGATTACTGTCTTAACTACAGTTTTATAATTATTACCTTTAAATAATCATGCTTTTGGAACATATATTGGTTAATATAACGCTATTTTTATTTGTTTAACAAATTAATCATAATTATCAAAAAAGACCAAGTGTACCTTTTGAAGAAGACCCGATAGGCCTAGGTTCATTCTATCTGAGACGTAGTAGAGTGCAACAAAGTGTTCGAAAATAAATGGCATGAACTTATTCACAATTAAAGTTGAATAGGCCTATTTGTTGAAGCACTATAACAATATCTTCTTTAGAATTGAAAAGCCTAGAGTCGTGATAGTTTGCTTGCTGCTTCATCTCAACTGAATTATATTTGTTTCGTCATATTTTCACATAAGGATACGACCTTCTTATCGATATGAGTAACAAACTTTGATTGTATGAACGCATTTTTGTGTTATCTGCGTAACGTTATCTTCTGCCGTTTAATGCGGAAGTGGATTCCATAGAACAAAAATATCGAATTTTAAAAGAAAAAGGGGAAATCATAAATACATGTATCGACATAGATACATACATAATACAATATTAGATGTATATTCTTATCAGCGGAAGA